TGTGGGTGTGAGATGGAGGCGCCGCCGGCCTTCACTTTGCCACCTCCGCCGCCACCTCCAGGGTTCCACTACCTGCAGGAGCCCCAGGACGACGCTTACGTCGATTCATCCTCGACGCCTCTTCCCTGGACGTGCCCCGTCCTGGTCAGCACCCCGCAGTACTACCAGGACGCCCTCTTCTCCACAGTTGCAGCTGCCTGCGTCGCCGTCCTTCTGCTGGTGTTGGCCATCATTGTCACCGTTGCCTCGAGGTAGGAGCCGAGTGTATGTCGCTAATCGGCTTTGTTTCCAATGAAGCCCGTGAATGTATGTGCTGTGTGTCGTGTGCGTGTCTAGGTAGAAGTAATTGAACATGAGCATTTATTTGTGCGGATGTGGTTTGCATGTAAATACACGGGAATGAGATGGACTGCCGCGCTTGACCTTGACTAAGGTATGACCGCGACTGTGTGGTCCTCGTGCCGCCAGCCTCACGTCGTCGCCTGTTGGGCCAAGTTTTTTTAAGACTAAAGCTTATTTGTCGTGTGTGTTTGTTTGTCAGAGTATTCTCCAGTGTGTAATGCTGCAGCGTTTCTTTACGGTGGGATATAGCAACAGTAACCATCTCAAATAGATGTTTGTGTTCAACTTGGGGCTCAGATACAGGGGCGTGCGTAAGGGCTTACAGGTGTGCTTCACTTTTATGTTAGCTTTTCTGGCGGGCAGTTAGGGTCGGAGTGGGTGGGCGGCGAGCGCACGAGAGTGGGACTATCGTGAGCATCAAGATGGTTACGTTTCCTTGCCTCCTCACCTTACCTGGATGCCACCTTACGCTTGTCGGAGATAAGAGCTCTCTCCTCCCTTCGTTTCTCTTTTACGTTCCTTTTACCTGTTGCTTCTGTTCCTCTTATGTACTATCTGTGTATTATAAATGCGTGGGCATTACATGTACGTTATGTAGACTTGCTTTTACGCCAGACCTTTTCCGGAGCACGTAACATACGCTTCTCTTTATTTCTGCACCTTCCTGTCAGCGTCCGGTCATCGTACGTGATGTTTACTTTGCCTGTCTGTTTGTCTCTGTCAGCTGCCGAAGGAAAACCGGGAAAGGTTGCAAGGCATTCTGGCTTACGAATAACGTCCTTTTTTTCTTTCTTCAGGAGACGCCCTTCGGTTCGCCATTACTCCTCCAACCCGATCTGCCGCCCGACGCCCTCGGCGAGCAAGCCCATCCCTCGCACGCCATGCCGCGCTTCGTACGCCTCCCTGGAGCAGTCGTTCGCCGCCGGGCACTTCTCCTCGGGCGCGGGCGGCCCTTCCCCGTCCCCCACCTACTGCTCGCCCTGCTCCCCGTCCCCCTCCCGAGTCCTCCCTCTGACCCCTTCCTCCTCTCGCATGGTTGTCCGCTACCACACCTCCAGCCGGTCCTTCAGCCACTCCCTGGCTCGCCCGCTCGCCTCCGCCCGCACGCAGACTGCCCACCCGCACCGCAGTCCGCTGTACCGCCCACGACTGGCGAGAGTGATGACCGGCCAGCTGCTGGTGCTCCCAGGCGGCGGTGCCAGCCCCTGCGTCGGCCATAAGTTCCCCGGGATGGAAATGGTAAGTTCGTTGCCATGATTTTGTCCTGTCTTTGTAATACGAACGCAATACCATGATTTAGATATGCTCCGAAGAAGGTAACGCCCTGTTCTAACACCGAGGTACTATTCCCTCAGATGTCTCCCGCGCGCGCCGTGGATAACGTGTACAGCCCCCTTCCCGCGCCCACCGCCCACACCGCCTTCGTCTTCCCTTGAGACGCCCACCTCCTGCGCTGTTTGTGGATGCTGCCCACAAGGCCCCTCTTCTGCAGGATCTCACAGGAGCGCCCATGGGCCACCAGGGAGGCCACTCTTCCGCTTATAGTCATGCCCTTATAGAAGCATACCGCGGGCAGCGTGCCCCGGGCAACCGGTGGCCTCGTGTGTGTGGCACTGGTTGGGTGGCGCTGCCTCGCCGCCGGCTTCATCCGCTCATTTTGTATATATACATAAAATATTATGCATTGTTTATATCCATTTTCCATTGTATTTGTATTCTTTTATCACCCGTGACGTGTGGGCTACCTGTGATCTTTTGTTTGGACTGTGACTGCATCTAGTCTTGCTTTGTTAAGAAATATATTTCTTTCCCTTGAGCTCTTGCTTTTCCCTCCAATCCTTTCGTGCCCCTGAGTACCCCCTGAATATGTCCGACTCGCATCTGAACGCGAGCCGAAGCTGCTCCCGAAAAGCGTCCTCGCGTCGCAATTGCAAACGCTACAAAAATATTCCCTGCGAAATTGAATCCCCGCGTGAAATTAAATCGCATTTCCCTACGCAACACAGTTTGTCTCGTCGACTCGTCTCCGTTTTTATTCTATTTCTCCCTCCAAAAGCGCGCTAGGAGTAGCCCATGCGGTGACGCCACTCGCAGTTTGCGCAGCCGTGAAACGTAGTCAGACACCTGGAAACGCGGCTATCCGATGTCGCGCCGAACGCAAGATGCAAGAGGATTCTTTAGCATGATTTACTTAGCCTGCGAGGCCGCCGCCATCCGGGGAGGGTCTGTCGAGGACACTCGGAGGAGAATGGCGGAAGGGAGAGAAGGAGAGAGAGAGAGGGGAAGAGGGAAGAGAGACAAAACTCGCGAGCGTCATCATAAAGTCCGGCGAGGGGGCGACAGGGGGCAGGGGGCGGGAGCCGTAGAGCGTCCACGTGGAAACTTTCACTCTGATGCACTTAAAAGATACATTATCCGTTCGCCAAAAAAACAGGGGGAGGAGAAGCCAAAGCAGGCCTTCGTCGCCTCTATTGCTCCCGTCCATAAGGTCCGTTTTATTCCCGCAAGGTTGCCTGGGGCTTGCTATTAACGGGATACTTGAGCGTCAGTCTCGGATTTATTAGTTTTTATGTCACTTCCTTTTGAATTACTCGCCGAGCAGAGGCAGTAGTTGTCTCGCCTTGGATAAGCATTTGCATGTTGTTTGCGGGATATGTTAAGCGCGTCTGGAGTGCGAGCATAGTAGTATGTTCTATTTTGCATGGCGAACACTGCGTTCACATCAGCACCATGGTAAATAGTCCATTTCTCCCGAAGTCTAACAGCGAGTTCAGTTAATGGCCATTTGTGTGATTGACACCATCTGTTTGCATCATATGTTTGTACCCTATGGAGGTCTGTCCTGGCGGCATCAACTGATTGTATTACTCATTCATGCAGTGGCTGTCTTCCTGTTATTGTTAAGAGTTACAGTTTTAGCAGAAAATGTTTTTCATGTAACCGAAGATTATGCAAATCCTTGTCCAGGTCTGACCTGTGTGACGATTTTGTCCCTGCCCTTTCCTCCTGCGCCCTCGTGACAATCGTAATCTGACTTCTTTCTTCTTTTTCTTCTTTTTATAACCGCAAAGCAATTGATTTCTTTTGGCTTGTATAAGCCGTATGTTCGGTTCACTTAAAGCAAAAGTAAAAATGTGAATGAGCTGTAGTGTACTGTACGGTGTCATAACAGCTGTAATACCTGCGCTGTTCCTTCATTTCAAGGCCGACGAGGCGCTGGCGACTCGCGCGGCGCAAAAACCCATTCTCGTTAAGCCCGCGAGCGATCTTCCTTGTAAGAACTACCGGGCGGAATCAGCATGAATGTCAGATGAGGATGAATGTAAAACAACATTCCGGAATAATAGCCATTTTGAACATTTTTCTTTCTTTTTTATGTGCCATCCTTCGAAAATCCCTGAATCCGTGGAGGCGATGGCGTGTGTTTTCCGGTCGGCGGCCCTGTCCTCCCGCGGGAACGTTTTCCCTTTTTTCTCTCGATAGTTGTTTCGTGTACAATAATTTCGATTAAAATGTAAATGAGGATGGATGGCTTAGGCTGAATGAGAAGGGGGGGGGGCTACGCGCTCGCTGGCGGTCGCACGGATTCATTATCCTCCTCCTCCTCCTTCCTCCTCTTTCTCCTCCGTCTCCTTCCTCTTCTTTCTCCTCCCCTTCCTATTCCTACTATTATTACTACTCTTCCTCTACTTTCTTCTTTTCCTCCTTCTCGACGTCAACCTCCCCCTCCTTCTATTACTACTACTCTTACTCCTCATCTTTTCCTCGTCCTCGTCCCCCCCCCTCCTCCTATTAATGCTATTCGTCCTCTTCTTTCTTCTTTTCCTCCTCTTCCTCCCCTCCTCTCCCCTCGCTTCCTCGTTTCTCATATTTCAGATTTTATAGGCTCAGCAATGATGGCGGTAATGTGAGATCGTCAAATGTTTAAGGGGGACGAATGCTTCAAAATAAAACATGGGATCACTGTAAATGTAAGGATGTATGTGTATATAGAGAGATAGATAGATGACTAGATAAATAGATAGAGATGACTAGATAAATTGATAGATAGCGATGGATAGATAAGTAGATAGATATAGATGAATACATAAATAGATACATCGAGATAAATATAGATATATATGTACACGAAAATTTTACTTCGCGAGAGGAAAATTTGAGGAAAGACATCGTTTGCAATTTGTTTCTTCGCGAAGGTCTCCGCCTCCGCTTCTTTGACTGGAAGGGGGAGGGGGGAGGGGAGCCTCGGGAGTGGCTGCGTTTCTCCCCATTTCGTTACCAACGGATTCAACACAGAATAATCTTATCCAAAATAAAGCAGATTAGAGCGAGAGCGGCCGCGCCGGAGCCGTCCGCCGTTTCCCAGGGTGCCCCGTCCCACTCCACCCTCTCCCCCTCCAGCCGAGGGAGCGGATGTCTTCTCTCAAAATTTTCTTCTTGCGAAGTAAAATATTTAATTGAACCATATTCTGCTTTCTCGCTAATTGATTCATGTTATTTAATAATTGTGTTAAGCGCGCCTGCTTTTTCCCCCTGGCCTCCCCGCCCTGAAAAAGCATGAGTGACGGGTGTTGCCGATTTTTTCCGTTCTCGACCCTTCGCTTTCCGGCCGAATTTCACCCAACATACCGACCGAGCGAAGGGCGACACGCGCGCCAACTTTTCCTCCGAATGATGTCTCCTTTTCTCCGTGCTTTTCGATTCGCTCTCTCTATCTATCTCTTTGAATATGTCGTGTCTATCTGTTTAGTTAGCTATCTGTCTGTTTGTGTGTCATATGTTTCTATCTCTCGCACGTTTCTCTCTATCTATTTTTCTCTCTATCTTTTTTTCTCTCTCTCTCCCTCTCTCTCTCTCTCTATCTATCTATCTATCTATCTATCTATCTATCTATTTCTCTCTCTCTCTCTCTCTCTCTCTCTCTCTCTCTCTCTCTCTCTCTCTCTCTCTCTCTCTCTCTCTCTCTCTCTCTCTCTCTCTCTCTCTCTCTCTCTCTCTCTCTTTTTCTCTCTCTCTCCAGTATTTATCTCTTCGTTTTTTCCTCCTAGCTTGATTGTTTACTCACCGTTTTACGCTCTCTTATGCATATCTATCATCATTTTTAATCTTTTTACTTCTATCAAACTAATTTGGCATTCCCGTCTTTATCCTTGCTAAGCCTCTTCTGTAACACTAGGATAAAAAGTCTTATGCTTTCTAGTTATGTATTTATGTAGTCTTTATTCTATTATCTTCAAGTCTATCATCTGTACACTTGCCTATTATCTTATTTTACTTTGTCTCCTTTTTTGTTTCATGTCCTGTTTTATTGGTGCTTTTGATTTTGTCCCTCTTTTCGTAATACATTTTTGGGTATATCATCAGTTAACTAAATAGTGTAACATTGTCTTTATTGCCGTCTCATTATCATACTGAAGTCAAGCACAGGCAGCTGAAACTCTCAAAGTACCCGGTCTGGCCTGAAATTCTGTGTATATATTCATCTATTTATCTATCTGTCTATCTATCTAAACATTCATTCTCTCTCTCTCTCTCTCTCTCTCTCTCTCTCTCTCTCTCTCTCTCTCTCTCTCTCTCTCTATATATATATATATATATATATATATATATATATATATATATATATATATATATATATATATATATATATATATATATATATATATATATAATATATATAATATATATATATATATATGTATATATATATATATATATATATATATATATATATTATATATATATATATATATATATATATATATATATATATACTGCATATTCGCATAAATTGATCTAACAATAAACGTTTCTATGGAGCAAGTTCCCTTTTCATTCATTGGTTCTCCTCTCTTCCATAAGCCTTGCTTCGTCTTTGTACCCTCTCCCTGCCCGTGATGTTCGTGTTCCGAGAGCATTCGCCTCGTCCTTGCAAAACTTCTGAGTAAAAAATGGTTTCCCGTCGAGTACTTCCTCATCGGTGGCTCCACCTCGAGGCCCAGCGGCTTTAGGCCGAGCCTAAGGACTTGACAACACCATTCCTGAACAGCAGGTGAGGCCATTTCGAAAGGGCTACGTCCCCCCTCCCCTCACCTAGTCCACCTTGGAAGTCCACCACCCACCTTTTCCCCTCTTCCCTCCGCCGTCTAGGAAATGCTTTGCCGTCTATGAGGCTATGTCTAGGTTTATGCCGTCTATGAGGCCTATCTACGTCTGTCTATGTCGTCCATGAGACCTGGCTACGTCTATGTCTACGTCGTTCATGAATTCTTGTTGTAAGTATGTCTATGTCGTCCATGAAGCCTATGCTGACATGAGGGCCATGTCCCCTCCCCTGATCCCCCGTCCCCACTCCCTTCAAAGAGCACCTCGCCCTCCCTCCGTCCCCTCGCCGTCCACGTCGGGAGCGGGTCAATTTGGAATCGTTCATCCCGTAAATGGGATCTGTTTCAAACATCAATTGGTTGAAGAACGACGATCAGTAAAGAGGGGAAGGAAGGAAATAAGTTTTGCTCCCTTTTTCCCCCTTTTCCCATCATCGTTGTAGGGCTTCCCCGCCGTTTCCAGGGAGACGGAGGGGAAGAGCAGGGGTGGAGGAAGGTTAGCAGAGGTCAAAATAAAGCCAAGGGGGGAGAGGGAACACAAAGATTAACTTGAAAGGCAAATTGTTGCGTGTTATCTCCGGGTATAAGATAAATAGATGCTTGATAATGGAAGAAGAAGATTTAATGGTAGGCAAAAGGGATTAGGGCGGCCGGCTAGGGCATTCCTGCGGCGAGG